CATGTGGCAGCCAGTCCTCACCATAATCCAACACACCTTCCTAGATGAAAGGGTCCGGGTTGCAGTCAGCAGTTTGATCATCAGACGAAAGTCTGTGCTTCTGCAGTTCCTTCACCAAAAGAGAAGCTGATTCATCGCTTGGGGAAATACGGATGTCTTTGCCCACACAGACAGTCACCAAATCCGGAGGGCCCTTCAAGCAAGTCACTTGGCCACCTTTCAAAGATGAACACAGCCCTTCCGTTCCCCCCAAAAGAGGCATGGCCGGCCGACCCATCTCCTCCCCTAGTGAATCATAAAATTGAGAAAAGGAAGAAAAATCCTAACAAGTCTCAGCAATCCCAACACATAACCGGTCAAAATCCCTATCAGCAGACAAACAAACCGTCCCATCCCTTTCTGACAGCCCAACAACCCCACAATCAGAGCCAACTGTAGAACTCGGCACATCCACCGAGTCAACCTTAGGAACAGGCGACAACATCTGCTGCCTCCCATCAAGAACCTCCCCCCCTTTGCTTCTCAACATCTCACAAGAAGGAGTAGAAGAAGAGATAAAAGCTGATGAAGAGTTCCGAACCTAATAAGGATTAGACATACCTGGACACGAATGAGGAACCTGACGGGCGACCCACTTCTGTTTGTCCTTTCTGGTCCATTTCTTGCTGGGTTGCTTCGGAAAACTCCACGAGGGACCATCCTCTTGTATGGAATCACAATCACCATGCTCATCATCACCCAAAAACCTAGACTGAAGGAGATCAAATCTATTACCCGAGAGTCGGTTCTGACAACACGATCCATGCCGGAAAGTCTTCGGACAAATGCCATCCCCCTTCGTCAAACTTAAGCTCACCTTTGCCCAGTTCTACTTCTCTTTCCTCGACCAAGAACGTGAGGTCGATCTTCTCTGTAACATGTCCGAAGGAGGTTCTTGAAAAGCAAGACTGTTAGCCGCTACAGAAAATGAATTGGGCTGCCCACCTTGAACTGAAATTGACAGGCAATTATTGGGGCCCCATTTAACCGCCCTAGCCTTAGCCATTCTTGGCTTAAACTGAGCTGGCCCAGAAGAAAAAAGTGGCCCAGAGAACTTAAGACGTCCATCCCGCTTAACGGGCTTGATGAGCCGCCCCGGCCCAGAAACTGGCCTAGCCCCACCCCACTCAAGCGAAGTCCTTCCAGTCACTTTCAAGCCCACTACATAAGCCCCACTCTGGATCGGCCCTACAATGTCTTAACCAACTGAATTTGAATTCAAAGAACCCCGAGGATCACGTGACTCCACACGTGGTGGAACAGCTGTCTTCCACTCACAACGGGCGTCATTCCTCCTCTAACCACGTGTCACAGAAGCATCCTTCCCACTACCACTCGCCCTAGGCGCGTGATGGCTCAAACGTCCCTGACCTTAACGGCGGCTGTTTTGCACCTCCGCCTTTTGGAACTCCAGCTTAGATCCAAGCCCACCACCAAACCTTCAAGACAAGCGGGGAACACTAGCCGATGCCGCCGGTGGTCCTAAATCACCTTTACCGGAACTTTTACCGAAATTTACCCCAGACAACGAGACCATGGTCGGAACAATTTCTTCAGATAACAAGATTCTGAAAGCCCACCGTCCATCCTCCACAACGATATTCGTCGGAATCTCACCGCCGTCAGCCACGATGATCACAATCCTTTCCGTGTCACTCATCTCGAAAGCCTCCACATCCCGAAAACCTCCACACACATCTCCAATGGCGACGAAGAGCTTCTGGCACCAAAGATGCAACGGCAGACCATATAGAATAACTCGCCGGCAATTAAACCTCAACCTCAACCCAGAGCACCCGACCCTGTAATACCAGGGATCGATGAAAAGCTAAGCCTCACCCCAAGATTTCTTGCCCCAGTCCAGAACCTTATGAGCCTCCAACACCGACGAGAACCAGAATAGTAAAAGCCCGTCCGGCAAAGAGTTAACCCTAACCCCGCCCGAAATCAACCAAGTCTTCGTGGCCCAATCTTCAATATTCTCCAAAGACCCCACCTCTCTATCAAATCTCCCCACAAGGCAGGCCCTAAGAACACATTCTCGAGAGGAGGTGGTGAGAGAATTCACCCTAAACACATGATCCCTAGAAGAAGGGATCCGTTCCACCTCCCCTTTCAAATCCAGACGAGGAATACGAGCAACCTCTAAATAAGACAACTTCTGACAGTCAAGCGTTTTCATGAACAAATCCACAAAACAACAGACCAACAAAACCAACAAAGGAAGAGAACAAAAGAAAGAGAAGAATAGTGAGCTCGAGTGATAGATGGAGAGCTCGAACCAACTCCAGAGAGCATTGAGTGATAGGTTGATCACTCAAACTTGCTGGGAACATCACTTTAAGGAAACTGGAGGGACTTCCAACGCTCAACCTTGCCTTGGATCGATCAATCCGATCAAAACTGATTTGGAAACTTGCGAAAATCAGCATTTTAGTTGGCTTTTTTTCCTACTGGCCACCAATATAGGGCTATAGGCAGTCTAGGGTATGATTTCACATGATTAAGAAATTTTATATCTATTAGAGGGAGAAAGCTTTGATATCAACCTTGGGTTTCTAAGGGACACCATATTCTGTGTGATTGAATGCTCAAAACAAGGTGAACTATTATAGACTTAATTACTTAAAGAATTATCAACCATAACATCAAAATTGAAGATTGGAAGACTGGTAGAGGAGATCAATATAAGAGGAAGATCAAATCGCATGAGGAACGGATTTGTTGATCAACAGCAGCAGAGTTCGAGGTTAAAAATTAGAAGTAAGGTAAGGTATGAGTGACGGAAGAGGTATCCCCAAGGAAAGAGAAGGAAGGGAATGTATCCCATTCCATTGGCCTTTGCAATGCACCAAACAAGGGTAAATGCAAAGGAGAAGCAACCTAAGTTTAATTACTTAATTTCGTGTGTACAACATTTAAGGCTCATAAATGAAACAGGTCATCTCAATTATGGTCATAAGACCATAATTGGGACGTGAAGATAAAAAGTGGTTGAATTTCTCGTGAAGATTTTAATAATAGTTTAGAGCAGCCAATAAATCCCAAAAAGAAACTAATTCATATGAAAGATAAAGTCTATAATGAATTTTTTTTATAAAGATCAAGAATCGCAACTTATTCTCCAAAAGGTTTCGATTCCACGCAAGGACATGGATAATAAGTTGGGTTCATCAATGTCACTTTGCATAGTTGTCAAGGGCAATGCATAAGGAGGGTACATCTCTCTCATCTCTTTTCCTGTTCTAGGTGTTTGCCATTGTTAGTTGAACTGGAGACTTGCTTGCATTACCAAAGGTTTAGTTCTAGCAGAGCAAGGTAAACAAGCACATCACAATAGTTCGGGAGTAAATCAATGAGTATTATCCATGACAGACAATTTGTGGTGTGTCTATAGGGGATCCATTAGAAGCACTATAAATGAAAATGTGTTCTCATGTTCATGGGATGGGTATCAAGCAGCATGGATGAGGACATGCCCAGAAAAAAATACGAAGTACCTAGGTGAACGGTGAACCCAAGCTAAAAAGAGAAGAAGAAAACTCACCTGATGATGCAGGATCACCGTTTGATATTAATGTTATGCTGTCTATAATCACTTTAACAGCAGGCTAAGGATTAGATAGCTTAAGATTTTAAGGTTTCAGAATACAGAAGAGTATAATGATTTTTAGATGAAATGAGTCAGAAACTTAGGATTTATGTATTTGTTAGAAATGAGTATCTACCAAGAAGGAGAAGAAGAAGAAGAAGCATGAAAAGTAATTTTTTAACCAATCAAAGACTTTCATCAACTGAACTCTTCAGATTCAATCAGAATTCACTGCAATCTGATTTGATACAATATTCCAAATCTATATTTTGTTCAAAGCAAGCTTGGTGAATGAAAACCTAGCAAAACAAAACCAAACATTTTTACTTTATTTTTTTGGCGTGAACCATTTAATAACCAAACGGAACTCGATTTTGATGTAGCATTTTAAATCCAGCACTAAACCTATTAAAGAACAGCTCCTAAGAAGAGAACCTAAATGTTTAAGAAAATAAATAGAAGAAAAGAAAAGAGAATATAATTTTCAAAAAAAGAAAGAAAAGGAGAGAGAAGACTAGACAGTCACACCGAGGTTTGTTAGGAACACACACCTAAGGAAGGATGCATTACACATCACAAATAGGCTTTAAAAGATTTGTTTTCAATTTTTCATTCCAAGCAATAAAACAAAGCCAATACATTATTATATACAAAAGATTATAGCTAGGAGAAGGAACTTGGTGGCAAATTTATCATGGTAGCCTTCTAAACAAACGAAGTCTACTAGACCTGACCAGAAAGCACGATTAAGCTCAAAATTAGAAAGCTCGCCTTGGCAGGGGGGCCCCTTCCTCCTCACCAAAATCCAAGAAATCCAAATAGGGTTTCCAAGAGCATACCTTTTATGACTCAATAACCATCGCATTACCTAGATTCTTTTGCAAATTGTGAATCCTTGAGGTTGATGCACCCTAATCTAATTCAAGTTTTCTTTATGTTGTGGAGACGCCTTATAATCAGAAGTTTTATGCTTAAGCGAAGAAATGTTCTAGGTAGATGCATGATCTGGGACCCCCAGAATTTGTATGCAAGATGAGCCTCCAAGAGAGCCAATCAACCAAGTAACTAGGTTTTGATAATAAGGTAGGATCCCCCTGGATCTAGCGGCCAGTCAATCACTGAGCAAAGAGTAAATTTTAAAAAGACCTCATCATCAATCTAGTGACCGCCTGAACGGTGAATCACTGCTCAAAGAGCGAGCAGCTGTCAGGTTTAATAATTTGGTGGGATCCACAAATGTAGTGGCCGGTGAACTGCTTCTTCTTCCATGAAGATTCAGACAAAACCAAGCTTGGATGGATAGTTGTTTTCTTCACAATTGTTGACAAATGAACTCAGCTCTAAAAGTGATGACAAGCATATATCATACCTTCCTTGATTTTCTCCGCGTACCAAAGTTCATGGCTTCCATTATTTCTTCAAAGCTTGCTCCAACGCCATCCTCTAGCCTTGACTTCTTAGTTGGGCTTCCACTGCCATGGAAACTCGATATAGTAAGATTCTGAAGGTCCTATTCAAGTACATAAGTGCCAATTTTTACAAGACTACAACATAATTTAATGAAAATTATTTCATTTATCCAAACGTAAATAACACTTTCCTAGAAGTAGAAGCTTAATCCCCAGCTAACTCATGTAACTTGAAGAATGCAAAGAAATATATGGATTTGGGATGTAAATTTTCATCCATCGGTTAAACCATGCTAAAATTGGCCCGATTATAAGTGGGTTGACTTTGAGTGGAAAATGAGCCACTTTCTGTTCAAATTTTTAAAAATTAGGTTCATACAACACAGCATGACCAATTTGGCCTCCATAATAGAAAATGCTTAGATTTCATGAACATAAGCAGTTTAAACTAGTTTGGGCGATTAAAAACCCAACCTCACAAACCCACAACATTAGTCACATTAAACCCACCCACAAGTAAGGCTAAATTATGGGTGACACACAAACCACAAACAAAGTTTTCTTCAAATACCACTAATAACTTATGACCACAAAATCATGATACTTACATATGTGCATTCAATACTTCTAAATATGCATAGACACGAAACAAGTTTCTTACAATGAATTAATTGCATCTATACATATAGAGACAGATAACAAGAACGTGTGACAATAATATGAACAAACTATTTCTTTCTTTTTTTTCTTAGTTGATACTCACCCCTGCCAACCACCCCCCACCAAATGAATTGTTTGCACCCAGGAGGAGTCGAACCTTAGAGTCTTAAACCTGATGCTTGACAAACTATTTCTTGTAAGTAGCTATTTTGAAATTAATACTTGTAATGTGCAATTATGACATTAAGTAATTCAATGCATAAATAACATAATGGCATAAAACAAATGTAGATAGATGATTACCTGTGGGGAGGAGGAGGATGCTCAGCGAGTGCCTTTCGCTTTTTTTCAGCCAGAGCTTCGTACTCATGCTCCATACGCTCAAATTGCTCATAAGGCTGAACACCACAAGCATCGTCTTCCGTGAAAGCCAAAGGATCCATATCGCCATTGAATTCGAAAGTATAAGCACCATCCCCATCTTCATCTTCATCTTCACCTGCAATGTCGTCTCCATCTTCGTCTCTTCGGTTCAAGGCAAAATCTGAATCATTAACCTCTGCACCATCATCATCATCCAATTCACTGGTACTTCTAATTTCTCCTCCTCCTTCCATAATAAGCTTTAAAAAAAAACTGCTATGAAAGAAAAAAGTGGTAGCAGTTTATCCTTGATTGTGAAGGACTGAACAACAACAGAACATTTCTGTACCCGTCACAAGTCCACCACGAGGACCCAAACATTCAACAATGCCCTCTCTCCAAAACTGCAATTAAGAAAAAATTATGGGGTTTGTTAACTTCACAAAACCACTGTACTATAATATTTTCCCATATCACCCCTGTATTAACAAAGTCATCAAAACACCACATACCAGTTTATTCCAAACACACAATACCTCCAATTACACAACTCACCCCACAAAGGTCAACTCTTTCCTCTCTCAATAATCCAAAAGGCCTACTTCTCCATACTAATTTCTCTGGCAAAAATAATATTTAAAAGAAAGTACTAAAAAACACCACAATTCACAAAAACTGAAAGCGAATAAACAGAATAATATCCATATTAAGATGTCATGTAGATGCAATATTGCAATGCATGTACCTAATTTAGAGAGAACAACATATACCTAATTCATACTTCCTTTTCAAGACCAAATTCATACTTCATTTAGAAATTAGAGAGAACAACATATGCAATGCATGAACCTAATTCATACTTTACTTTCAAGACCAAAATTAACCATAAAAGGCAAACCCACGACGAACTGAAAGAACATCAAACAGAGTAATATCCAGATTTAAAGAGAACAACATATAGCAATGACTAAATTTGTGACAACCATGCGTAGTAAAGAAGAAATGAGACAAACCCACAAACTGGAAATAGATAAATACACACACAATTACACATGCATATGCATATATATATATATATATATATATATATATACTCACGCGCTCTGTTTGTAACATGGAGAGAAAGAATTCACTTACGTTTTGAGACATGAATGAACTGATCTGAGCTCAATTAAAGTCCATTGATTCTCGGTATTGACAAAATGTGTTTGAATTTTGAGCTTAGCTTCTTGTTTTTCTTCGTATGTGTGTGTATTTGCAATTTTGCAGAGAAAAATAGAGAGAAAAACCTGTAAGAGAGCGCTCCTTATATAAAGTGACATCTGGAATAGTACAAAAATATTTTCGGAAAGCTAGTGGACTACAGTACTAAAATATTCAGATAAAAAAATCCTAAATTACGTCTTCCTACGCTGACCAATTGCAAAAAAACCAAAAAAAAAAAAAATTACATCCCATAAATGTGTGAGATCCCCAAATAATTGATGTCATCCATGTATCACATTTGAGTCTTACAGTGGAAACTCCATTTGAGTCACAATGGAAGCTAAAATCCAAGCCTATATAAGGCCACGTGTACGTACCATTTGGAGACACTTGAATTAAAAAACATTTTCTCTCTCTTTTTCGTGTTCTCCTTGTGCGAAAGTTTCTCTAATATTACTTTACATATATACATACATATTTATTTATTACACGTTATCAGCACGAAATTTTATTAATTGAGAAAAAAATTCTATTTTTCTTTCTCACTTCAAAGGGTAAGAAAAATAATTATTTATATTAAACTGTTGTTGTTCAAGTCTCACATAAAATTAAAATTGTTGAGCCTGCAGTCTCGCAAATACTTATTTATTTATTTATATTATCATATTTTTGTCTATTCTTTATAGAAAAGTAAATTGCTAAGCCCGAAGTCTCGTAAATACTAAATTATTTAATTTGCAAACTCGAAGTTTTGCATATATTAATATACTCTTTGTGAACCTGAAGTTTTACGAATATTTGGTACTCTTTGCGAACTCGAAGTTTCGCAAAATTTGTTGGCCTAAAGTCCAGATGAATCTAAAATTCTTTGACCTAGAGTCATTTACACTGAGTACCCTTACAAACCTGAAGTTTTGCAAAACGTAGAAATATATATTATATGTGTCTTTTAGTGTAAATATATTTTGTCTTTTTGCCATTGTTTTGTTTACTGAAAGCACATGATTAACTTTTTGACATTGTGTAGTATATTTATTAACAATTCATATTATATTTGCTAAATATCTAGTTACAATCTTTTACATGTTACTTCATGTACATTACTATACATATAAATTGGCTCAGATTTGAGTACGTAAAAGAAAAAAAAAAATTTAATTACCACAAGATTCGAACCGTGGCCCTTTTATACGCAAGTTGAGTTAATGAGCCACCAAGCCACTTGTTCTGTTGTGATTATAAATTGACTATTATTTATATATATGGTATCACCACTATGCAAATCATATTATAATGACTGCAGTATTTTTATAATCTCAAATTGATTATTCTTTTAATAAAATAATTCTAACTATGTTATTTTATCATTTATAGTTCATAATGTCAAATCTTACCAAGCTTAAATTTGTGGCACTTGATATCTCGGGCAAAAACTACTTGTCATGGATCCTTGACGCCGAGATCCACTTGGATGCCATGAATCTCGGAGAGATAATTAAGGAAGAAAATAATGCGTCTCTGCAGAACCGCGCGAAAACTATAATCTTTCTTCGCCATCACCTCCATGAGGAATTAAAAACAGAGTATATCACGGTTAAGGATCCACTTACACTGTGAAAAAATTTGAAAGAACGATATGAGCATCAGAAAACTGTGATCCTTCCAAAAGCCTGCTATGACTGGATCCACCTGCGATTGCAGGATTTTAAAAGTGTAAGTGAATACAATTCAGCCTTGTTTAAAATCAGCTCATAATTAAAATTATGTGGAGAAAAAATTACTGATGAGTGGTGATGATACGTTAGAAAAAACATACTCCACATTTCATGCCTCAAATGTGCTCCTGCAGCAGCAATATAGAGAGCGCAGATTTACCAAATATTCTGAGCTGATTTATTGTTTGTTGGTAGTTGAACAGAATAATGAGTTTTTGATGAAAAACCACCAGTCCCATCCAACTGGATCTGTACTATTCCAAGAAGCGAATGTGTTCTCATTTCACAATCATGGACGTGGACGCGGACATAGTGGTGGTCGTGGATATGGTCGCAATAGAAATAATTATAATAATCGTGGTAGTCATAATTCCTCATTGACTCCCAGAAGGAACTCCACACTGTCCCACCAGAAGTGGAATTCAAATGCGACCAAGCAGGCAAAAGGAAAAGCTTTGCAGAACAAAGCTCCTGAGATATATGATGACAAGCTTTGTTATAGATGTGGAATGAAAGGTCATTGGTCGCGTACCTGTCGTGCGCCCAAACATCTAATTGATTTTACCATGCCTCAATGAATGATAAGAGAAAAGGAAAGGAAATTGAAATGAATTTTGTGGATGACGACTTACCAGTTGATATTACTCACCTTGATGTTTCTGACTTCTTTGCTGATTCTAGTGGTAGTATTGATCATTTGATTAGTGATGGAAATGTCAATACCAATTAATATGTTCTTCTCTAACATGTTATCCCTTGTGTGTTTTATCTTATCTGTATCAGTATGTTTAAATTTTCATTGTATCCATATGTCTCTATCTAAGTTGTACCGGTATGTTTTTATTTTGGCTATCTTGTATGTAAATCTAGTTTGTATTTCAAGTTTGAAGTAATAAAATCTATATTTTGTGTATGAAGAAGCATGGATCTGACTAAGGCATTGATTGTACCCAAGATAAATGGTAAAGATATATGTCTGGCAGACAGTGCAACAACGCACACCATACTCTGAGATAGAAAATATTTTTCACGTATAACATTAGTTGAAGCTCGTGTCAATACAATATCAGGTCCAGCAGATCTAATTGAAGGCTCCGAAAAAGCTATCATTGTGTCACCATGTGGAACAAAATTGAATATTGATGATGATCTATACTCCACTAAATAAAAAAGAAATTTATTAAGTTTTAAAGATATACGTCTCACCGGTTATCATATTGAGACTATAAATGAAGGAGGCGTTGAATATCTCTGTATTACATGCCAGAAGCATGTATTAGAAAAACTCCCTACTTTATCTTCTGGATCATATTATACAAATATAAGAGTAATTGAGTCACATGCAGTGACGCACCAGAAGTGCTTTGACCCAAATATTTTTGTACTTTGGCATGATCGCCTTGATCATCATGGGTCAACAATGATGCGCCGAATCATTGAAAATTCACATAGTCATCCACTAAAGAACCAGAAGATTCTTTTAGCAAATGATTATCCTTGTACCGCTTGTTCACAGGGTAAATTAATAGTCAGACCATCACCTTCCAAGGTCGTTGTTGAATGCCCACCATTTTTACAATGAATTCAAGGGGATATATGTGAACCAATTCATCCAGCGTGTGGACCATTTCGATATTTTATAGTCTTAATTGATGCATCAACACGGTGGTCACACGTAAGTTTACTTTTTTCTCGTAATGTTGCATTTGCTCGACTCCTTGCTCAAATAATCCGATTACGAGAACAATATCCGGATTATCCAATCCAGACTATCCGTCTTGATAATGCCGGGGAATTCATATCTTAATCATTTGATGACTATTGCATGTCAATTAGCATTCTTATTGAACATCCTATTGCACATACTCACACCCAAAATGGTCTTGCAGAATCTTTTATCAAACGTCTTTAGTTAGTTGCTAGACCATTACTCATGAGAACTAAACTACCTGTTTCTGCTTGAGGACATGCGATATTACATGCAGCATCACTAGTTCGCATTAGACCAACTGCATATCATAGTTTTTTCGCCACTACAACTTATGATTGGTCAACAACCAAGTATCTCTCACTTACGAGTTTTCGATTGCATTGTATATGTTCCCCTTGCACCCCCACAACGCACAAAAATGGGTCATCAATGACGACTTGGTGTTTATGTAGATTTTGATTCTCCATCTATTATTAGATATCTTGAACCTATGACATGTGATGTTTTTAAGGCGCGGTTTACTTACTGTCATTTCGATGAGGCTGTTTTCCCTCTATTAAGGGAGGAAAAGAAAAAGGCAGAAGAGTAACGAGTTATTAATTGGAATGTCTCGACTTTATCTCATTTCGATCCTCACACAAATCAATGTGAAATAGAAGTTCAAAGGATCATTCATTTGCAAAGTATTGCAAATCAATTACCCGATGCATTCACTGACACAAAGAAAGTGATAAAATCACATATACTAGCTGCAAACATTCCAGCAAGAATGGATGTCCCTGTAGGACAGTCTGTCAGTGTTATTGCAAATGCATCTAAGACACGCCAGAAGTGTGGTAGACCAGTCGGTGCAAAAGACACTATTCCTTAAAAGAGGAAAGCACAAGAGAAATCAAATAAAGAAATTGGCGCTCCTGAAGAGGTCACACTTGCAAAAGGAACAACGAAAATGATTGATCAATCTAAATTTTATAAGCAAGTAGCCCCAGAAGATATGCATGCCCCGGAAGTGGCACATGCCCCGGAAGAGGCACTGGTACCTGAAAATAATGAGATCTCAATAAACTATAGAGAATTGTGGGATAGAAATACAGTTGTTATTAGCGATATATTCTCCTTTGCAGTTGCTCTTGATATTGCAAGTGATAAAGAGGATCCTGAACCTCAAAACGTCGAAGAGTGTCGATGTAGAAATGATTGGCCAAAATGGAAAGAAGCAATACAAGCAAGGCTAAACTCATTAGCAAAACGTGAAGTATTTGGACCTGTAGTCCAGACACCTGAAGATGTCATGCCTGTAGGGTACAAATGGGTATTTGTAAGGAAATATAATGAGAAAAATGAAATTGTAAGATACAAAGCCCGACTTGTAGCCCAAGTTTTCTCACAGAGACCTGGTATTGATTATGAGGAGACATACTCTCCAGTGATGGATGTAATCACATTTCGCTTCTTGATCAGTTTGACAGTCTCAGAAGCACTGGATATGCGTCTGATGGACGTGGTTACAGCTTATTTATATGGATCACTAGATAGTGATATATATATGAAAATCCCTGAAGGATTTAAAATGCCTGAAGCAAATAGCTTGAAACCACATACCATGTATTCGATCAAGCTACAACGATCCTTGTACGGATTGAAACAATCCGGACGCATGTGGTACAATCGACTCAGCGAGTATTTACTAAAAGAATAATATGTGAATAATCAAGTTTGTCC